AATATTTGAAAATAGATTTTACCCATCAATATCAATGTTGTATGAATAATGTTAAATATTAACATTATATATATTTAAATAAATATTTTAGTTTCAATGTCTTTTATGTGTATATTATTATTAAATCAAAAATTCAATAACGTTTGTAATTTTTCGTCACTAGATATCCGTTTATCAAAAATTTTAAATGGGAACAATAAATTTGTGTTTATTCCTTATTCTCTTAAAATAATATTTGCGTAAATAGACTTCCATACAAGTTGCATTTATATCGCGTATTAAAAAAAATTAAGTAGAAGTTACTCTGTCGGTAATAAAGTTCTAGTTTAAAAAACATGATTCTACTTACCTGGTTCACAGACGCGGCAAGATGCTTCAAGCTGTCCGAGTAATTTTTCAACACCGTGTCTGTGGCCAAGCAGCTTACACGAAACTCATAAAACATATCCAGTTTATACAGGCACCTCTGGCAGATATTTTTTGGCAGCCCATCCTCTTTAGTTATCTGGAATTGATTAACTTATTTCAATGCGTGATTCGCAAGAAAAAAAATATTCGAAATATCGTTTCATTTCTTTTTATCGCGCATCTCTAACAGCGTTTTATTTTCAGTCGATTAGTACTTTAACTTATCATTCATCGTTACTACATTATTTTAGAGACAGTCTCATTAACATTGTTATTAACATAAAACAGTAAAACATTTTCACATTTGTTAGCTGAGCTTGAATATGAATAAATAATGAGTAGTATAAAATTTGTTAATACCAGTTAACGGTAAACAAATAATTATTCTAAATTAGTAAAAAGTGGAAATGCAGAAGATATAACATTTTTATCAGATTGTACACAGTGAAATTTTATTTGAGTCATTAATTTGAGATTATTTATTTTTATTATTTCCCTACAAGTAACTTTATTATTAATTGTAATCTGTTTTAAACTTTGATGATGCTTGTATTTAAAAGTATATAAGACAATTACTTTCCTTAAAGGAATATTCACTTTTAATATTTAATGTAGGATCTTGGTTCATTCTGCTTCCCACATCTATATGCATTAAAGCAGTACACTCGATTAAATGAAGTTAACAAGTTTTCCAGAAAAGGTATACAATATTACATAATACAGAAAGTATATGGTATATCCAGCAATTATATCAGATTATGTAAATATAAACTCTTCAGGAAGTCAAACCTCGATTGCGTTGTGTTAAAATTACAAATGCTGCATAAGTATGCAATAAAAATACTCCAATAAGTTTAATCTCAATTAATAACTAAGAGGTTCAATATTAATGCTTTTCATTAAGCCTTTATAACACTACTACATCATACTTTAATTTTCAATCCCTTTCATTAAAACTTTAATACATTATGAAGCTTAATTTGTAAGTAATCTTCACACGAAACTTGTACTTAGGACAATATGAAACATATGTGTTTAGGTTTACATAAAGGAGCATATGTAACATAATATTGGTCCTACAAAAGAGATACTTCTACACCAATTGGATAAATGTATAATCTAAATTAATAAAATACAAATTAAATGAAAGGATTGTTAATAGCATTACAAAGAAAGTATTTTACTCACCACAGTAGGTATACAGGAACGTATTTTGAATAGTAATTGCCGTTGCTCTCCTTCCTTGTCAAAAATTGGGAGCTGATGGTTGCTTTTCAATGAACAAAGTCTGCATAACTCGGCGAAATTGAAATCTTCGTTCATAGCCATTCTTTCAAATCGCGGTTAAACACAAGCGTTCAACGACTGGAGAGGTTATGTCGTCCGTGACCGTATCTCTCCCGTAATTTTTTCGTCTGTTACAGACCACCGTCGTCGTAACACAAACTTATTATCGATTAGAACAAATCAGCGAACAAAAATAGTTTCGGTACTGATGAAATTGAACAAATACGAACCCTTAACAAAACTAAACTAAGAGTCATTTGATCAAGACATTTGAGCCTTTCTTGTCGCTGCTGTTGTCCAGTATGCACGATGCTCGACTCCACATTGTTCGACATGGAACCACCTATAGGGGGGTGCATGAATTAGTAAGAGATCTTACATATCGGTAAAACAGTAGAAAATAATAATAAATATTTTATTTAAAATTTCTTGAAAAGTATGCGGCTATTATTGATACTCGACAATTTTCAGTTTTAATATATCACATAATAACAAAATTTTTCAATTTTTTTAAATATAAATTCCAAGCAATTGAATACAACTTTTCATTGTTCGATAAAATCTTTTATTTTCAGTGATTAAAAATTTTATATTTAAAATTTATAATTTAACTTCGAAGGATATTACATTATTTAGATTACTTTAATTTAATTTATCTCTGAGTTATTAATGTCATGATTAAATGTGTAATAATCATGTACTAAGTGAAACAAATTCGGTTTACGGATTTTGTTATGAATTTGTAATGATATGTTGTTGCATACTATTTTGTCATTACTTTCCTAGAACTAGTTTATACCATTTTGTAGATATTATTGGGCAGAAAAATATTTTTACCTTCAGTTATAAAACGCGAATACAAAAACCCAATCTTGATGTTACTAATGTGTTTCACATATTGATCGCAGAGAAAGGACAACATAATGGGAGTGATATAACTTAAGTTATAAAGAATTAATAGCAACGTTTGTGTTTGTAACATAAATCTGCATGATATAACTGCACGAAAGAATTATCACCGTCGTTAGTTCTGCTATTGTAAACTCAGTAGCTTCAATACAGACGCAATGCACACATTCGTTTGTTCATTATAGTTGTTAAAATAAATAGCAAAATATATTAAAATAAAGTACGTAAAATACTCAGTATTTTGCACGATTATTAACGATTAAACGTGACTTCAAAAAATAATTAGTTGTTCATTATATAACGACAACAAGCAGCAGATAATGATTATCCTTAGTGTGTTTGGAATTGTTTTAACTATATTTGGTATAACTTTTTTTCATGGACAATACATGATGACTAAGCTGACGGATAAAGTACGAGCGGTAAGTGACATTACCTGTTATACTATTATTCTATCAATATTATACAAATGTATTAATAATAACATTCATTCTGAAATTTAATATAATCAGAGAACATGGAAACGATTAATAAACTCGATTGTCCAGATTTTGAAATTCGTAATGTAAGATACCTGAAATCTTCGTCTGTATAACTTATAAAATAATAATTTGCAGAATTTACATCTGACTAAAGGCACCTCTGGCTATAACGGATATGTTTCGCCTTTGTCACTATCCTTTACATGTTATGTATTTAACGTTACGAATCCCGATGAAGTAATGCGAGGAGAAAATCCGAATGTGGTCGAATATGGTCCTTTTGTGTACGAGTACGTACTTATATCTTGTGCATTAATTTCGAAAAATTATATTCACATTTAAAAAAAAATTCTTCTTTTCATTTTGAATAGTGAAATTCTGCAGAGACACATCCAAGATACTAACGTCGAAACGGACGAAATTAATTATATTGCCGTAGCAACGTACAAGTTTAACAGCGATAAAAGTGTGAATGCTAGTCGCGAAAAAGTCACCATATTGAACCCAGCATACATGGGCAGTATAATAACGGTCAGTAAAACTTGACAGAATATTAAGAACCACGTTTCTGCCAACCAAATCGTTTACAATTTCCATTCGTAATCATTTACAACGGGCACAAAACACAAAGTGTTCAGAAATTATGTTACGTTGCATGTTGCGTGAAGTGTTGTTGGAATAATAATGTTGATGTAGCATCTATTATTAGTGAAATAATTATCGTCAATGTGCTTTTGCAGTTGACGTCACTACCCCCCGAGTTTATGAAAAAATACGGAAACAGCATACCGAATTTGTTTCCCAATCGCAGTAGCATATTTTTGAAAGCTCGTCCTGTTGATATACTGTTCAACGGTATTAGAGTTACATGTAACGTAAAAAAGTTCCCTGACTTAAATCTCTTATGTAAAATAATGGACTCTAATAAACGTCCACCGGTTTTAAGGGAGACCGATAAAGAGGGAGTTTACCTACTGAGTATGTTCCAAAAGGTAAGATACAAAAAAAGTAATACATTAAAATATAATGCTAATATAAGAAAATAAATATACGTGTAATGTGGTATATGAAAACATAATTATACTGTATTGTTACGACTATTAGAGCAATGGCACAGTCCGTGGACCATATTCTGTTAACAGAGGCTTAAAAAATATGAGTCTACTGGGAGACACGACTTCTTACAAATTCGAGAAAGTACAAACAATTTGGCATTCTGACTCGTGTAATCGAGTAAGAGGGTCGGATACCATCACCTATGCACCATTATTAACGCCACTGTCTTACGTTACAACCTTTATAACTGATTATTGCAGGTATGGCAATGTTATAGATATCTTCGAGCACTACAGAATATTTTGCAATACTGTACAAACTAAATCAGGATTAACTACAAAATTGTAAAAATTATTAATTAAAGATAATATCAAAAAATTTCGATGTAATATATATTATACTATATTGTATTATTCAATACTGAACATTTCTAAATGAAAATTGTACGATTTCACTCGTTCTAATAAATAAAACTTACATGCAGAGTCCTAATGAATCTCTTACGTAAAGTTAATAACAATAATATTAATTTTATTAATAAAGAGAGCTGTCTGTAAGTGATTGATACTAATAAGATTTGTCTTACTCAAATGGCAGGTCCGTGGAAGTTGATTATGATAGACAGGTTTCGATAAATGGCATAACTGGATCGAAATTTACCATGAAGGAACGTGTGTGGTTTTTAAATGAATCACAGTGTTATTGTCCTGTAAATGACAAAAAAGTAGAATGTTTGCCACAGGGCTTGCTCGATGCCTCTGAATGCCAGGTAAATTCACAATTTACTTTTCAGTTTCAATCAAGAAATATAAAAGTAAAAATTAAAAATTTGTATTAAAGAATTTCCTGTGCATAGTAATACACTATTAACGTAATTCTTATTTTATATTTCAATTTATTCTGACGCAAATGTTTCATCGACTTTATTTTCTATATTTTTCAGAAAGCGCCTATAATATTTTCGGAACCGCACTTTCTTCACGGTGATCCGAGTCTTTTACAATATGTCCGCGGTTTGAAACCCGACGAAAATCTTCATTCAACTTTCATTGTCATCGAACCGTACACCGGATATCCACTTTCAGGATACAAAAAAGTACAATTAAACGTAAAACTGTCTAAACAACCAGTAGATCTTCTCGCGAATGTCAGCGAGGGAATTGTTCCTCTACTATGGTGTGCGGATGTAAGAATCTTCGAGAAGTTATAATCAATCATTGGCATTTCATAATTATTGCGATACGGGACCAAATAGGAACACGTTTTCTATGCAATGTACGTTTTATCATTGTGCATCTACAATATCAATCATTAATCTTAAATATTAGGTTGAGGAAAAAGAAATCCATTATTTTTACGTGAAGTTCAAGACTTTATTTAACATGTTTCGGATTGTCCAATTTGGGTCAAATATGCACCATTTTGTTCTATAATTTGTTGCCATTTTAAAGGTAGCTTCATAATGCCTCTGTTGTAGAAGTCTTGGTTCTTATTGACGAAAAAGTCTAGTAACCGATTTTCACAATCTTTTCTTGATGCCAATTTCTTATCACTAAGGAAGTTTTGCAATACAAGAAAAACTTGATAATCGCTTAGTGCCAGGTCCAGACTATATGGTGGATGCATGAAAACTTCCCAACCAAGGTCCCGGAGTTTCTGGCGAGTCACTATAGACGTGTGTGGCCTGGCGTTATCTGGTAGAACACAACAACTCTCCTGTTGGCCAATTCTGGCCGTTTCTGGTCAATCGCTGGCTTCAAACGGTCCAGTTGTTGACAGTAGGCATCCGAATTTAGTGTTTGGCCATATGGAAGCAACTCATAATAAATGATTTCTTTCCAGTCCTACCAAATGCACAGCAGAACCTTCCTGGCCGTTAGCTGTGGTTTAGCCACCGTTCGAGCTGTTTGACCGCGCTTTGACCACGATCGTTTTCGCATAATATTGTCGAATGTGACCCATTTCTCATCCCCAGTCATCATTTGTTTAAGAAATGGGTCGATTTCATTCCTTTTGGCCAAGGCTTCGCAGATAGAAATTCGATCCATCATGTTTCTTCGTGTTAATTGGTGTGGCACCCAAACATCGAGCTTCTTTTTGAATCCAGCTTTGCGCAAATGGTTTAAAACTGTTTTACGGTCGATCTTTAGCTCCTAAGCGATGCTACGACTGCTAACATGCCGGTCAACTTCGATTATTTCTGGGATTTTATCGACATTTTTGACAACGGGCCTACGTGTGCGAGGTGCATTTTTAACACCAAGAATATCTGAACGGAATCGACGAAACCAAAATTGAACGTAATTGGCTGTTACAGTATCGGCACCATAAACACCATCCACAATTTCAGCCGCCTGGCTTGCATTTTCGCCTTTATAAAAGAAAAACTGTAAAATGTACCGAATTTTCTCTTTGTTGACTTCCATCTTTAACACCCTGTAACTCACAACTGAATGCACCAAACAAAAAACAGCAAAAGAATTTTTTTAATGTGAAATGTCACCCTTCCAACGAATATAAATCTGAAATTGTTTGATCGATACTTTACGAGATATCGATCACTTCAGCCATGTACCGAAAAAATAATGGATTTCTTTTTTCCCACCCTAATATTTTGTTCACCTTATTGCTACACTTCGAAGGAAAATTAGAAGTAAACTCGAATGTCCAAAAATATTTTATTTTCCTCATTCTTTTCTAACAATAATCTGGTCGCATTTCACCACGTCTTTCATTTATCAAAATGTGCGTCACAATTCTATAAACGTAACGTTTCGTCGTATCGCAGCACAGGTCATATAAAATCGCGTATCAAAGTGTAAGTCCTTAATGTATCATTCCAAAACGGTATGAAAATACTCACATAACAAACACTCCACAGGGAAGCACAGCAACGTTAAAGGATGCAGCGTTCCCGTATCAGATACTGCGGCTGGTAAATGTCACTTGGTTTCTCCAGCTCGTCCCTTTAATCGTCGGAGTTTACATGGTTCTCGTCGGTTTATTTTTACATAATTGGACGCAGCAGAAATCGGAGCCGACGCATTCTATGGTCGAGGCGATATTAATATCGTCGAACTTACAATCGTACAATGCCGAGCGCAGGCCACCGCGACGAGCAGTACACGCGTTTGAGAGATTTCAACGCGTGCACCCTGCTTTGTAGAACGGAAGACACAAGTGAAAATCACAAAGAGCGTATAAACTATCATAATAATTCCTTGATTATATATTTACTCTTTAGAATCCTTATGTCACGTATATCAACAAATAACCCACCGTTTCTCATAAAATTCATTGACATTAACACTAAAGCTACCAAGCGGATCAAAATAACAAATTCTTGATTTCCTCTTTTTTGCAATTATTAAGAAGATAACAGATGTTTCTCTGAGGAATTGTTAAAGAAATTGATTTAGCAATGCGAGAATTGAATTATAAATTAAATAAAGTTTCAATAGATGCACCGTTGGGGTTTATATAGAGGAATTTCAAAAAATCAATTTAACTGCTCGGTAGCGTTAGTGTTAAACGCAAACCACACATTTCTCTTATACATTACACATTCATAAATAAACGTGATACAAGAATGTCGCAACAACCAAAGTTTCAATTCTCTGCAAGTTAAATTAGAAAGTTTCTGAAGTTTTTATTCAATGACGCGATAGAACAGTTCATAGAAACGATATTTTACACAACGGCACTACACGTTCCGTTCGCTTATATTTAAGATAAGAAACTAAACCCTGTATTCTCGAGGGCTGACACATTTACAGTCAGACAACAGTATTTTCTCTTCTTTCTATTTTACAAAGAGTACTTAAATAAATAGTTAAATCATTCTTATGTATCATTTTTTTCTGTCTCGACCTTGGACGCGTCGAATATACTTATGTACACCATCAAGCAAATTTTGCTTTCTCTTTTACAAGGTTTCTTATATCATATCAACATAACAAATTCATATAATATACAATAAATATTTACCGTACCTCCTATTCGCCTAAACGTTGTCACTTTCTCTCAGTTGTCACCGCGAAGCTGCACGTGAACAGAATACTGAGCGATGCAAGAGGTATGCTAATTAAATCGTAAATGAGCTAACTATGATCTACGCTAATGCTACCTTAAGAGAAACGCTTAATTAGTCAAAATAAATACAGAATGTACATGAAAACGGTTTCCAAGATAAATGATTCGTGCCCAATTTACGATGATCGCGAACACGTGTCACGTTTTACCGTACTGATTACAATTGTAATGATCGTTCGACGAATCCTTGGCCCCAACGATCTTCTTGCTGACGGAAACCATGCACGCGAGTCTTTCCCACGCGATAACAAGAAAATTTCGAATGTCACTTGTAAAGATCTATTATCTTCCCTATGGAGATCCATGAGCCGAATACTAACGCGAACATCGAGAACACCAGAAGCATAGAGTTCTTCCAGAGCCTCCAGTTGTACATGCCCAGGTGGGTCTCCCAGCACGAAATTGTTTCCACGATCGCTGGAATGCTGATACCAAGCACTGAGAAGAACACCGAGCCGACCAACGAAATGAACGGTTCCAGATCCGGTACTATCAATGCCACGACAACTATAAAATAAGAAAATACAAATTTTATATAAGAATTCTACGATTATACCACTTGAAGATGTCTCGATAAACAGGTTTTGAGATCCACCAATTAAATTCTAATGAAACAAAGAACTACCGAACTTCACCTCTTTAATCAAACTAACTTGTGTCATTCAAATAAAAATTGGAATATTATATTTAAACTGTAAATCTAACGTCAATATTGATATAGATATGTAAGCGTATAAAGTTACTAAGCAATTGTTTATGTTCTCCTTAATTCAATTTAATTTTATTTGTAAATTGCACCGTTGACTTAATTTATTAAGATAAACAAATTAAAATAAAATTTATGCAGCAGCCGAGCGTGATGCAAATGTATGTGATTTTCTTCATAAATAAAAGTTAAACGGCATCTGCAATCCAAGCATCAAGATAGCGACTACGTAAATATTATCTCGTAGACTCTCAATGAGCTGACCAAGTCACGAGTCACTGAACGGTGCTCGCGATTGACAGTGAGTCATGCGGTTAGAGAACCAACAGGTATTTCCCTGGCCCACTCCGCCGCTACCTTTCCATTGCAACCCGCGTTTCTCTCTTTCTTTCTTAGGAAAGTAACACGCGTGTCTGGAACACGACGATCCTAGACTGGTAATAGCCAGAAGACTAATCGCAACAACTTCTCGGTAATATTGAAATATACATTTTCATCCAATACCGCTAGAAATACCAATCTATGTCTCGCGTGGACGATGCTATTTGAAAAATTGGTTACGGGAATCGTGTGTATGCCGGGAACGCGGCTACCGTTGTGAGATCATAAACTGTCGATTCGTTTCAATTAAATTTAATTCTTACGTATGCCACAATTTTGTTAGGATAAGAAAAACATTAAAAAATATTAAAATATGAGAAATAATAAAAAATATTAAAATACGGGAAAATATAAAATATAAAAATTACCAATAGAGATTTTGTTTTGGTATATTTTATTACGTAAACGCGATAGATATATTTGATTCTCTGTAAACGAGAGATAGATACTTGCCTGTGAAAAGAACCATGAAGATCCTCATTAACGTTTCACATATGCCGTGGTACTTGTGACTGCATTTGTCCTTTATCGACGTCCACATGATCTCCATTGGAACGAAATACTGGAGACCATAGGTGAACAGAACAGCCAGAGCGATAAGTATCTTCACTACTTGTCCTAAACTGTAAAATTTATTGTTTAATAAATAGAAAGAAATTGAGAGTATCCATTAGAATAATGAAACAATCAATGATAAAAACACTTACATTTCTTCTGTTGGTATACTGAGTGTAATGCTTCCTAATACTTGTTCACCGTACGTCAGGTAACCGAATATGCCCAATACAGCGTAGAGGCTGACCACTATTGACATCGTTATGTTAAGAACACTAGGACATCCGAGGAAGTGGTCGGGATTCCTCATACTGTTTTCTACGGGCATCACCTGTGCAAAATCAATTTCGTTTCATAAATATAACACATACAATTCGCCAATGAACAATAAACAATAAACAAAATTCGGGAATGAATCGATTTTTTTATTTAACACTAAATGTACGACACCCGGTCATATGACCGGTACATCGAAATGAAAAAGTGCATCTATAGTTTTCCATTCTTGTTAACAACAAATGAAAGTATATAATTTTTTTTCTTATTATCGAAAAATTATTTTGTGCATTGTTCCCGTAGTGAATCAACAATCAACAATATTCTTTTCGCAAAAATATGAACGATAGCAACAGAAAATTAGTCGATCATTTTACTTAAACAAATTTCGAAAATTAATCGATGGCACAACAAAAATTATAATATTATACAATTAAATTCCAATAGTCTTTCATTAAATAAATAAAAAAGGAAAACAAAAATTAAATCGAAGATACTGAGCGAGTTCGATTCACGAGTCAACGCCATGGATTAACGAGTTGAAATCTGAACACCGTCAGCCAACGAGGAGAAATTGTAATGAAATTACATTACGTAAGTGAAATGGTACTTACAACGCCGATACCTTCGATCGCAAATATCACCGTCGCGAAAAACGTGGGCAGCTGCGTGACCGACCCGATCAATTTCGTGTTCGCCGTCAGTTGAATATCTCTGAAGATGTAGTACAGGGTTATCGCGAACCCGCCCATCATGCAGATATTCGCGACCATAGAAATAGGCACCATGTATTTCAGGTTTCGTATCTGGCCCAGCAACACCAACGCTGGTATCAACGTGAGTATGTACATCCGAGGTGAGATTTCGTAACCGCTGTTAAAATTCGCCACCTGAAATCGAATTAAGAAAAATTAATAATAACAGTGGCTATCAATACTCGATTGGATTAATCCCTTGTAATCGATCATATTTCATCTCGATCTGAACTCATATCACTCTTCTCTTTAGTATCATTACAATGATTTCATATTTCAGCAATATATGTTCTTTTAATAGCAATAATACATATTCTAAGTACTCCAAGCTGATAATCGTGCAGTCAATAGATAACAAAATTGAATCATCTCCTGCGTTTAAGCAAATATTTGATATAAAAAATAGTAAATCAAAATTCACCATGTTGAGTAATATCCTTTTCAAGGAGCAAAAAGACAAAGTTTTGTTTTGGAATTGCGATTGAATTATACACATAACGTTTTAAATAAGATTTTAAATAAATGGTTGAAGGTATTTTAAGTTTTACAGAGTTAATAGAAACTAGCGTTTCAACGAATTTATGTAACGGAATGTTTAAGGTTCACTTGAACGGAGTGCAATTATCTTGGGGTTACAGGCAAACGGACAGACCGGATTCTACAGGTCAATAGAGTCAAAGAAGTCTCCAGGCGACGTGTGGCACAGATTTTCAATTGTGATCGAGGTAAAAATGAGGAGGATGCACGTGTTACGATGGAAAAGAACGAAGAGAAGGAGGCGGACGATGATTAGAATTACTTCGCGACGTATTCGTATTCCGGACGGCATTATGAAGTCACCGTGATTTGCATAGAACAATAGTTCATAACTTATAAAACTATAGTAACCTAATTTTAAATATTACGAACTTAAAACGTTCGAAGTTTTCTTTCACTCGTGGAAAATGATTAAAGATATTCTTAGATTTAATCCATCCAATGATATTTGAAATTTTATAGTACATATAAAATTGTATAATATGCAAAGTAAATGATGTACTTCTGTACGAATGTACGAAAACGAAGCAAATAGTTAATGCGTGTCTGTAATTCATTAGGAATGAACATGGCATTGAAATCTACGCGAGAGTTAGAATCGTCCTTGTAAAAATCAAGTACGCAGTAAACTGTGAAACTTGATCACCCTGATTATTCCCATTATTGAATCGACTACTTCTTGTCTTATTTAAATTTGTTTATTTTCCTGGCATACGTTCTATCTGAGAAATCATATTCTGTTCCCTGTGATCTTTTATCAAACGAGAAAATAAATAAAAAGAAGAAAATAAAAAATATTTGCTGATATTTTATCAATGAAGATAAATGTAGGAAATGCGAAAGAATAATTAAACTTCAAAATCAATAATGAAAAATATCATTTTCGTTATGACTAAGTTATTATTCATTAATTACCAATTTCTGTTCCCTATTATCGCAGAATAAATTTATCCTGATTCAACAGTCGTATTATTAGTCTCGTGTTGAAAGTCAATTATTTCGTTTCTGACGTGGTATATGTTATCAAGAATTAGTAATGACGCCATTTGTCATTTTGACGGGTTTTAGTGAATAACCGAAGCAGTTTTGCATTTAATTTCGTTTGTCATACTTAAAGCGATATTGTATGCATTACCTTATGGTACTGGCAAATGAAATATTTGCTACATGTAAAATTATTTATACCGGTAGTCTTGTACGATGTATTTCACCTTCAAGTTTGTACATTAAAATTATCATTGTCGAATGTGTATATCAAACAAGTTGTTCACTTTGACTAATATAATTGACAAACTAATTCCTCTATGAAATCATCTTAAAAGAATAGAACATGCGTAGGATTAAAATACGAGTTACGTTTAATCGATTGTTAAGACTGACCCATGTAAATTTTCGTTTCAAATCAATGTTACTTTATTTCATTTTCTACGGAAAATGAAACAAAGGAACGGAATATTGAGAGAAAATGATATTTGTACAAAACTAACGCGACAACCTAATATTTTAGCCATCATAATTGAGTAATTAGTAATATTAGAAATATATTTCACGTAGAGTACTTGTAGCACTTTAAATATTCCATAAATGCAAATTACTGTCTTTCACTTATTGTTATGACCTCTAGATATTATCATGAACTATTTGTTATTAATTCGACATTTTTACTGCTTTCTAATTCTTAACTATCTACAATATTCAAGGAGAAACATATTTCTTCCCAGACGAACGAACTTCATATTTAACATGCAACTCGAGACGAATGAAATTAATATAGTGCAATGCGAACATTATAATACAATAGAATCCAAAAGATATTTGTTAAATAAACTCGGAGACGAGCAACTATTGAGAAGTGAAATTAACTTAAGTAACCAATTACCTCGTTATCCCTGATTAACCTTACTCTATGATTTCTCTCTCAACTGTGATAAACACAATTACTTTGTCGTTAATAAATTATAAAAAAAGGAATCTTCTATGCTTATCTTTTCTAAAGTATAATAATTGATAACAAAAGAATAATATTAATTTAGATTCGAAAGAATTGACTACTATTTATGCTGATAAACTCTGTTTCAAATGTTCACCACGAGTCTGACAATTTATTACGAGGCAAAGAGTTGAACGGTCAAACTCAACATTAAGTCTGGCGACTCGTTTCGTACAACTGAAGGTTGAATTCAGGTGAGGTCAGACACGTCAGCCATCGAGAACAAAGAGTATCAACTCAGAAGATCTTACCTGCTGGATCGAGCTCGCGATGAAGACCACGTAAACGCACGCGCCACCCACATAGGTAGCGCACAATGCGGCGTTTACAAATATTCGACTGGCGTTCGCGAACGGTCTAACTGGTTTCGGACCGTAGAGAAACGCGGCTTCCGCAGTCTCCGCGTACGTCATTTGCGGCGTTTTCGTCCTTTTGCAGAGCACGTGGGACGAACGGACCAGAATGTGGACACAATGGGCGCATATGATGCCGATTATTATTGTGCCGATACCGCCGAACAAAAGGCCGCCGTGTTTAATCGCGCTCGGCATGGCGAGAATTCCTGTGCCCAGCGACGACTTAAGCAAATGGGCCAATGCACCGACATCTCTGTAATACAAGCATGTTTAAGATATTATTAACATTGACGTTGACATTAACACTAAAGTTACCAGACGAGTCAACGATTCACGCCTGATTTCTTCTTTTTTTGCAATTATTAAGAAGATGACAGATGTTTCTCTGAGAAACTATTAAAGAATTTGATTTAGCAACAGGCAAATTGAACTGTGAATCAATTGAAGTCTCGATAGATGCATTATTGGAGTTTCCATAGAAGGATTTCAAAAAGTCAATTTAATTGCTCGGTAGTTTTAGTGTTAATCCTTTGTATTACAGAAGCGTTTCATTGGAAGTACTCAACAGTTTCTAATGAGATACAGACGACTTTTTCTGAAACTAGAGAAATTGTAAATAAAATGAGGAACAAAACTATTTTATTCCAATGGTTCACATATTGATGCATTATACAAAGTTTAACCCTTTGCAGACGGAGATTCTCTGAAGTATACAAAATCTCCAGCAGATGAAGCTAAATTACGTATCGATTGCTTAAATAATAAATATAAACGGAACTACGTACCAAACTCTTGCTGTATGGGTAACTAACTCATTTGTTTGTTATTTAGTGCTCTATCTATAAAAATCTAATCTCGCTGAAATGTTGACATCCGTCCGCAAATACTAAATTAATATTAAATATCAAACTTTACAGTTTTGCTGCATCAAATCAATTGGCGACTCTGCAGTGCAAAGGGTTAATGGAAAAACAGTTTTTCAGTGGACTGGTGATCTAGAGCTTTAGATATCGAGTTAGTCATTTGGAAGAATGAGGAGAAGAGTGAAGTTTAAAATTGTTTGAAACATGTATATTGACGACATGTCTACGAATCTTGGACTATAAATTGGATGTTTGTTTTAATCAAAGAACTTTTGTTGACTTTTGTTTGACCAAGTTGTCTTTTCTTTGAGTAATTCTAGACTTTTTTTCTACCTTGAGAGACTGTTACTATGAATTATTCTATATTTTTAGAAATAAAGAGATTTAAAATTAAATTATGTCTCAGTCTAATTATGTCGTTTGATATAAGTATCTTCGAATATAGTTCTTTATTAATCCAGTTTTATCCAAATAAATGCAAAAATATTTCAAATGGAGTATTATAATACTTGTTTTTGGTTAGGTTAAACCACCTGGCTAAAAATGCAGTTAAAATAGTTGCTAATCTATATCAAGACATTTTGACAATAAATGTCAAGTAAGGGGGTTCTGTTCTTTACATGTATATAACTAAATAAGTTTTGTGGACTCACGTATTTTAAGAAAATGCTTAAGTGAAAAGATTGTACAAAACTGCAAAAAGGGGAAATAGTAAGAAATAACGAAATGGTTGCTTACGAATTGGAATTTTTCTTGTCACGGTGCTCGAAAGGATTATACAGGTCATCTTTCTCGTTGAACTCGCCAATTACAACAGAAGCAATTTTGGTACTGAAAAAGAAGACAGTAGATACATTAGTAAATACATTGTATCAAAATTGGAAGATGAGAGAGAACAGAAACAATGAGACAAACGATAATAGAAAATTGGCATCTAACTCTTTTGAATATATTTTATCAGGCTCTATCAATCATGTCTGATAAAACAGAAGCACATTTGATGACATTAATTGAGTGTTTAGCTTTATTTCAGAAGTCTCTTAACATTGTGGTTCAGCAGACACGGAATACGTTTATCGATATGGTTATCGATGTATTTGACGAGTAAGACATTCGGTGATGAGTTATATCTATAATAACATGTGTCACACGTATAATTGAAACTTTCGAGTGAAACTGATACAAATCGTTTAAATTGTTAACACTACGATTATTGAAAGTCAGAATTCATATTTACCCAATTTGTCGTTACTCTATAAACCATAAATTTAATAATACAATTCACCGGACGCAAAACCTACATTTTACCATTATAAATAGTAACCATTATAATGATTACAAAATCTTCTATTTCATATTGTTCTTTAACAAAGAAATGTGTATGCATCGAATAACAGAACAATTAAAAAGCAATACCTGCTACTGAACTCCTGCATAGGGTTCTCCATAGTTGCTTGTTCCTTTCCCTTCCCCATGATGGGTCTGAAAACAAAATAAACATAGTTTCAATATTAACAATACACATTTTATAAATACACCCATCCAATCTTTATCAATTTACCGTTAAACATTATTTCGAACGTACAACTTTGACACCGAATGATCAGAATATAAACCGGAAATAATGAAATGTATCGACGTATAAACAATACCATATCAATGACTAAATAACGGAACAAACCACTTGGTTTTATCGATACACCGAATATCAATGAAACGCGATTTATCCTCCGTAGCTGCGAAATATATTTCTTCGGAAGCATCTGTCAGAATCAAACCATGATTAATGATCAATTAGCTCGCGATAGAATTCAATTCTTCGTCTTTATCGGCAAACGGCAGTTAATGTCCTGGATCAAATCATATTCAACGATTGTCGAGACGATTATCGAAATAGGTGATCGGTCAAAGGGAGATTACCGCGAACAGTTCTCTACGTGATATCCGAGGAGTATTTCGGCGCCGATTTCACCGGACGAAGTTCGATAAAGAGATCCATCCCGGATAACGATGATTGTTTGGAAACAAAGCTGATCGCGACGCCTCTTTTACGGTGTAAGTACCCTCTTACAGATACATTAACAGCATTAACGATCGTGACGCAGTGGAATCCGCGTTATCGCCGAAAAAAAAACTTTCCGTTGATACATGAATCGCTTTATCAAACAAATTACCGTAATTCGCGGGTATTCGCGGGCGTCAAATTTTCTGATCGATTCTTCAAGAGACGAGATGATTCCGCGAAAAAAAAAACTGGGGGAAGTATTCACTGAATCGATTAAGTGAATAGTTAAGAGAACGAGACTGATAACACTAGAACAGCCGCGCTCGTCACAATTGCATATACTAGTTTTCCCATTCCGCAATTGTTGTAGTTTGAAAACGTTGAATATCCGAAATGATTTGGAAAATAAATAGTTTGATTAGAGAATTAATGTATGAAGAAATTGAAGGAATCTATTATTACAATTTTTATAAGAACTACGTATTAATCATATTAAATGTTTGGTTGCTCTAGTACCTGATAAGAAATTTGGGAAGAAATTTTTATACAACATATTATTTTTTCTATAATATTGTGGATAACATGAGAATATGTATCAATAATATTCTTCTTCTTCTCATAATAGCCATAGTATTGTCCAGTACGTATTATATTTACGTTTTATTTAAGGAAAATTAGAGTAGGCATTGATAAATAACAAGAGAAGTAAATAGAAATTGATTCTTGCACTGGATATTTTTTTCTAACAGAAACAGATATAATGATTTCTCTCTAGATAATTGATAATTATGTCTGACTATTAATAATATGTGTTATTGAGACTTGACTAGTCTGATCATGATTTAGCAATTCTACTTATTCCATGTACAGATGCGTTTGTGTCACTTAAACTTCTATAATTAGCAACGTATACTTTCTTACGTATTTATATTTAAAAAACAATCTTTGAAGTTAGAAATATTAGTAGATTCTAGCAAAGAATTACACTTTTCAGTGACAAAAGCAGGGAAAAGTATACAGACAGAATTGCGTCAATTCTTAAACAAATATTAAATAAAACCGTCGAACTGAGAATATTCATTTTAAGACAGTTCTCGAAACTAAGTATTTAACGTGACAGTGATATTGAACTACTAATAAAACATGACTAACTGGAAAATATTTTACGCGAGGAAAAACTGTCTGAGTACTGTCCAGCAATAACCATTTGGTCCACGATACGTTAAAAAACGATTCCACGCAAAACCGCACACCTGCGGTCGCAATTATATTTCACAATGAAACTGTATTCGCATAATTAACACCTATAATTAACAAAAACGAGTAACGTATGAATAGAACCGTGTAGTTTGACGCGTTACCCAACGTCTCGTGGCAGTTTAACTACGGGTATTATTCTCCGGCGCAATAAACAGAAGTATTCACTCGCATAATAATATTCTATTGTGAAAACAAACAACCAGATGACTAAAATTCCTAATTCATTGCAACAAGTGCGGCGTTATTGCGTTGAAATCCAAGTAACATGCATCGACGTCAATTCTTAGTAAGAATCATTTATTTTTTGCTTCGACCAGGATCAGGAAAAGATTATTGACGTCTGGAACTAAATCGAGAGAACTGCAGATAATCCGCGGTTAATTAACACAACATTTTACAACCGCATCCGGGAATAAACGTTACACAAGAGATGATGAAGGAAAAAGTTTCATAAACAGTTGGAATTGTTTTGTCTTTACCTACTCGAGGTGAGATATTTGATTGACCGGTTTCTGGCTAAATCGCCAGGTACAATTAATGTATGGTAATGGTTCCGTTGTGATTAATTGCTATTTACTTCATACGTTCTTATACAATATATGCGCAGAAATATTATCGAATTTGTTGATTTCATAGACAATAAGGATTGAATATTAAATTCTTGAGAATTTCGAACTTTTCGAGTATCGAGTTGATTTCGAAATTTTAGGAGTGTTCTTTAGATTTCAAATTATAATATTTTTAATAGTTATTACAGGCTATTTGAGTTTTCCCAGAAATGGTTTTCTTGGAAGTAATTTAATATTTTATTCTTTGTTGATCGCAACACACATTATTAAAATCGAAGAACACTCTGGCAAATGCAAATATATGTTCACAAGACTGTACAAACGTTTCTGTAGTATAAATTACGTACTGGTAGCGAATTCGATGCACATCGTGAATAACCATCTTGTAGATGATTGATTAAGGGACCACTAAAGTTGTGACTAACTCAAGCGTAACACCACTGGATACTTTTTGAAACTGGTAGCAATATGGACTGAATAAAAATTTACTAATGAACGATACTCCGTTGAAGTCAGTACCTTTTAAAGTAGTACAGTGGCCATGTATTGGGAAATGATAATTTAAGCGTTTGTTATCAGTATTATGACGTCTGAAGCAACAAATTTGAATAAAATTATAATAGCGAGATTTTATCGAAACTTGGAACTGATTAGCATAATGAATGCATAATGCAGAAATTATATAATAATTACTATAAATATACAAAAACATCAACACAATTAGAAACAAACACCTCGTTTCAATATTATTTTCAATTTTACAGACATTTCTAAACTGATAAAGTAAACTCGATAAATTGTTTAATTATTCATTCGTATGATCGAAAGATGGAAAGTGATTTATTATTTTGTAAAAACGCAAAATTGAAGCGAGTCCTTTTTTTCTCTTTGCTCGGGCCACAGAGCTATAGACGCATATATGCGTTTTTAGATCTTCTCAATGTCACGCGTGCTATGATGACAATTATAAGTGTAAAATATTAATGTACGCGTTTCTTAGCATTATTCAATTTGACGAGACCAAAGAATTACAATTACAACTTAATTACGTCTTGCATGAATGAACATAGTTAATCTTCTAACGACAAGCTAAGCGAAAAGATATTCCGTCCACACGAAGTGTTTCGGTTAGGAATATTCAACACTCAAAGAATTAAAGCCTAAAGAACAATGCTTGTGGAAACGTTCATTACATCAGAATCTATTCATTTTTCGTGAAAAATAGCATTCGAACAATTGTTATCGGAGATCCTTCTTCTAGACGTCATTCGAATGACGTTCCATTGTATTATTCTCGAACGATCGTTCCGCGAAAAGAGCGTGATCTAAGGGATCGGTCGGATGCGTTGAGCAACCGTGCACCACCAGAATCGGCGGAACGCGTGTACAGAACGGATTATGGTGTGTTGCAGCTGGGACATATCCTTGAACGCTTCCACGGGAACGTGCTACGTAGTACACAATGCACGTAGGACTTTCTAATGTCAGGAAGGAGAAAGGACTCGCGATGTGGCTAATAAATATTCCCGTGTGAGCCATAGACGGAAAAGAAGTCACGAGCAGCCACCGTTCAACCAAGAATTATCCCGTGATCCAGGTGTATCAGGTGATCTACGTGTACCGGGGATCGAGCAAGGATCTCGGATCATGGAGCCAAGAGCAGATTCTCTTCAGGATAATATCGGCATGAATTCTCGTGGCCTGGGCTTCTGGAAATTCGCGACGCGAACGTGATCCACGAAATGTCACATAACACTTTGTTACCATTTCCAAAGCGACGTTGCGTAATCCCCGTAATCCGCTCTCTTGTCGGATCGTTACGTTCCTTGTACGGAACTTTCAATCAAGTATCCCCTTCATATTTAACCCTTTGGACTGGACAATACTGTTCGTTGTAAACAGATTTTTACGTGTTAATGGGGAACTTAGTAAAGTGTAGACTTGCATGAAATGTAGACAATATGAAAAGATATGTAGAATCTTTAACGTGTAGTGCTTTCTACGGTGTTTTTTGAGGAAAACTGTTTTTTTTTTACAGTGGTTTTGCTTTGTTAATTGTATTCTCAAGGATCTGGATTTGTATGCAAATTCATGATCTAGTAATAACACTTGTATAGATGTTATATATAAAATGCGGGGGAAGAAATAATGAGAAGGCAATAAACAAAAGTGCATAGTAATGAAGAAAGTAATTATATTTTGTTAACATATGTATGAATTATTACTTTCGTGGCGGTATAATTTTGTATTTTCCTCGTGTTTTGTAACTAAAAGTACAGTTAATATAAACTTGCGCGTGGAAAGTTTATTAAAGTCTATTTTTAAGAATTCCGCAGATTAGTAGGATTTGTTGAACGGTATCAAAAGTAGTAAAAATATTATACCTGATTGCTGCTTGGGTAACATTGTAAGTCTGAATCCGAAGGATTTATCAGAAGATAATAATTGCTCTATCGAAGAAAAGAAGTAGGATTATATTGGAGTATGAAGTGAATTTTTATTAGGATTAATGATAGTAACGTATCGGCCGACAGGAGATATTGCCAGAATGTGAAACGTTTCGCAGAAACCAGTTTCCCCGTGTATAAAGAAGCGTGCAGAGATAAATTACTCGGAAGTTTCCTACGAACGTGTTACTTGACGACAGATGTGAAAAAATTCGAGACTAAATAACTCAGACCATTATAATGGCATTGGTACAAGAAATACAATCCTACTATATATAAATGTATATTAATAAACGTATGATACCGTTTTACAAAAAACGCTTCGACAAAAATACATTCATATAATATCGTATGCACGATAATCAGTTAAATAATAAGTAACTTTTCTAAAACGTAAAATTTCTCCAGAATGTATAAATTAATTTGGCAAACTCGAGTTTACCAAAATATGTTAATTACGTTGCTCAATTTTCATGTAACATTGTAGTTGCAGGAATTTATCACAATCTTGATGTTGTAATATTTCATGGAACACTGTAGTTTAGCGTGATATCTCTCCAGATTACTAACATTCTCTAGGGATCACGCGGAAATTCCAGCATAATGATGGCGGAAATTATCCATAATTTCGACCGATTTCCTATCAGGATACCTACAATATTGCGATTGGTTCTCTTCTACTGAACTTTTATTTCGCAACGACAAAATTGCAGCGCAAAATGATCGTGTCCGACTCTAGGGTCGTCTAACTTTCAATTGAGTGGCAAATCGACACCGTAACGAGTGGATTCGATACGAAATTTCGCTACACGCACGATAAAATAGGAAAAGATAAACTACAATTGCACGTTATTGAGAATAGTGATATATAATCGGTTAACTCAAAATGACCAAGGCACACGATCATTTTCTACACCTGTCTCCCGTTCCTTCCTGTCAGATATGAGGTACACTTCTGAACTTGTTCAAGAAACGTCTAATACTCAGTTTCGATAGCTGAGAAAAAGTAGTTATTATGGGACTAAAATCAGGACACAGCGAATTCAAGTACTCACACTGACTAACTATACAGAAACTAAAAAATTGGAATTTTCGCCATTGTGTGTTATCAGTTAACTATATGTTAGCTTAACAAAAATTCGTTAACGTAAGAACCAGGTATCAATTTCCAAACGTAGTATAAAAAGTTCTGAATTATACAAGGTTATGTCATACATTATAAACTACTTGGAACAATTATTATATACTGATTAATAAAGATAAATGAAACAATCAAATAGTAGTATGATGCTAATAGTCAATAACAATTTAAATATAGCACATATTGTAATTGGTAATATATGTATGTGTTAAATAGTATTCCATATTCGCGCGTCAATGTATGTAAGTCGCACTAGTAACAACAATATACATATGACCTTCGTGAGTACATGAAAGAAGAAAAGTATTTAACAGTAATAACTATGGAAAAAGATTTTGAAAAGTAGACTAAAATCCATAAAGTTCTAGCATTAATAATCCATTTAATTTTATAACAGATTACGTACACAGTAAAGTGATTAATTTTTACATATCATAATTTTCTAAATTTAGATATGTATCTATATATAAATTGTATTAACTAATAATATCGGTTAATAAATCCAATTATCATAGAATAAATTAATCAACCGTTTGTTAACCAATAGTAGTAATCAATAATATCGGTTAATAAATCCAGTTATCGTATAATAAAATTAATTAACCGTTTGTTAACCAGTAACATTAACCAATAATATTAAACATTTGTAGAAAATGTTCCTTGTTCGGAAGTGTCATTGTCAGTAATATTTCTAATGAAATATGAAGGATTTCAATATTCGTGCAGCGTATGCTCGCTCGACTTCCACTGCGAACGACCGCCACGCGACTGATAAACTCGGGGGAACTCCATGAACTGCTCGATAACACCTTGACGTCGTTCACGAGGCTATTTCCCGGACAGACCTTGCGAGCGCCGTATCGAGTCGCGTGAAATCCCGCGAAACCAACAATCGGCCGCCATTTACCAATGATTTGCGATGCATTAAAGAAACCACGTTTGTTACCGGTAACTCGTGAACTTCAAGGCTTTACATCAATAATAAATGTACGTCTCCTAATATCTTCTTGTATAGACGAGTGGCTACAAAGGCCGCACGCATGACCGCTAACTCACGCTTTCGTATGACAAATTTGTAACTAGAATAGAACAGAAATCCACTTGACTGTCAATTGATTGTTATTTTGAGCTATTTTTAAGCTGGACGCATCGAGTTCCCAAGATACGTCGACAATTCGACAATTATCATTTCTTATGGAAATTTCATCTAAGAGTTAGATAATTAGTAATTTCATGGAAGTTCTATCTAACAGTTTAGTTTTATCTAACAATCAGACAATTAGTAATCTTTGGGAAACTGTGATTTTTATACTTGTTGTTTGAGTATTAATGAGATTACTATATATTAAATTATCATTATACAATTGTTGTCCTATTCGGCAGATTATGGATACATTGGTGTTGCCCGAGTAAAAGAATTTTCAATGCCGTTGCAAAATTTATGACCGTAATATCTGTCACATTTATCTATACCCTTCTACGCAAAACTTGCAGGAAACCTTCAGGCATGGAAATAGTTTCATTAAATTCTGTATTTTACAAGTGACGTACGAAAAGAGTAAAACTTCGAAATTCTAAAAATATGATTCTAATAATATAAAGTAGAATTGAACTTTATTCTCGTGGGTTAAAGTAAACACGTGTGCATTGAAATTTAAAAATAGAGTGCAGGAATTCGTATAACAAAATTGATTGAAAAATGGAAAAAGAATGTTGATGCGAGTTGTCAGCGGAAAGATGAGAGTCAAAACAAGAAGAGAAATACGATGAATCAACTCGTCTGTGCTGGTTTTCTCGTTCGGTTATGAGCATCGGAAGGAACAAAAAACGAGAAACGCGTCTGCGAATGTTTAAGGAACAAAGGAGGGAAGATTTATCACGGTGTCGCGGCGAATTATCTGTTTGACGCTTGCGTTATCAAAATATCGCGCGAAACGGAATTCCATTCGGGTCGTCTGTCTTCGTAGTTAGCAATGCTCCCAACGGCGAGCGATAATCATCGATGAAAACGACTGAAGATAATCACGAAGTGGATCTCGATCCAGCTGTACGTCGAAAGTCCGTCTGGTTGCGTAACGCAGAACATCAAACTTTTCGGCTGCATCCCGGAATTCGGGTTTGTATCGATCGTTTCATAGTACCAGAAAATTGACTTTTCCTTTTCCTTCGCATATCCTAATGCACCGATGTTTCAAAAAGGCAACGAAGTAAATGTAACGTTAGAAATTCAAAGAATGAAAGAAGTTGAAACATTTTAAAGGGAACGATCTAAGGCAATTATATTACTTTTCTCTTTACATTAAGCGAGAAACCTCGAGCTAGATTCGAATAATTGATTTTGAGATTTGCATGTTCGTTCCTAATAAGATTCCACTGCCGAGGGAGCTATTTTTGTAATGTGAATCCCCATTTTTTTATTATGACAAAAGAAAGTGAAGGTTTCCTTGAGAAAAATGTTTCACGCTGAAACATCTTTTTTATTTATGGTAGTATAGGGGAATAAGTTGGACAAAAAAGTTTTTGAGTGAATACTGTGTAATATTCCAGTGAAATAATAAAACAATATATTCTTATGTAAGTTACTGTATAATGAAAGTAATACAAAGTAGCTTTCAATGCCTTATGAATCAGCCTTATGGATAATCATGATTTACTTACATAAATAAGAGAGATAAACTCATTTTTCCGCGACTAACTGTCCTGACAAGGTACGTGAATATTAATAATAAAAGAACCTCTAAAAAATGTAACAACCACATCAATTAAAAATAAATGTCGTTCTATCCTCGAAAAAAATAAATTTATCAAGTCCATATCCCTTTGATACTTAGCCTTATAACATCAATCACCCTCGCGGCGAAGACTTAACATCGTATTTAACAAACACAAATATTCCTTGACATCAATAAAGAAGAAAATAACATTCGGCAATGTATAAAACTTCAACTTAATTGAATTTACTTCTGCAACGTATACCTGAATAAACACTTATACAGATACAAACATTATTTTCACGACATAAATTTACGAAAAATAATATTTGCCAATTTACGAAACTTCAATATAACTAAATTTCGCAATTTAGTAAGTATTCGCAATGAATGCCTATACACCACTCTTTCTATAATGCACAATTGTTAACAGTAAACCAACTGTCAACTTTATTAAAAAGAAAGATTATAAAATGAAGGGTTACAAATATTTTGCGCAGGTGTACTTACCGCCCTCGGCCGATTATTCAGAGGACCAAGAATATAACCGTCGATGATTCGAACCTCTCGAGGATGTTGACGTGCGTCCTCGTGGTTTTCCCGGTGAAGAAGAATGTGAATGGAGCCGGACCGTCTCTTCGCAACCTTCTATTTACATCCTCGATCGGACGTTCGCGTGTATCTCTTTCTCCCCCTATCGAAGCTCTCGCTCCTTGATCCCTTTCCGAACTACCGAACCTCCAATCGTTCCTTCCACTTTTATCTTTCCAACGGTGTCTAGTAGTACCCGCGGAGATAATGATTTATCAGCGGGTCTTAGAACAGCTTCGACCAGTGTCATACGTATGATTTATTGACCAATGAGGCACTTCTGGACGAGTCCCACGCACAAATGCGTTGCACAACGGTATCGGAGACCGAGCGCAGGCTTCTGTTTCGCTGCTGGCCAATCGCCCCCACTGGAATTCCCTTTATCGCCGATTATTATTAAGATGTGCCCGCGACACGATTCACCAGAGACGGTCAGAACAGACGCGATGCATTAGATACCACTCGACCTTACGTAAGATCCTTTAACGGTCCGTTTAATCGAACAAAAGACACAGGAAACCGTGGTGACTTTTTCCACATATATATCAATGTCCTTGGAGCGTTCTCCTTTGTTTCCCTCGAATATCTTTCAGTCTCCCTTTTGGATTCACGTCTAATTAATATTCACCCTCATCGGCCTTGCCTTGGAATACTTTCGAATCTTTTACGACACTAAAAGTTCGTTTTTCCTGTAAATACTGCAATCAATAATACTCTATCCTTCGGATGTATAAACTCTTCCTTTTTAAATATCCTTTAAACTTCTTCCATCGAGTCTTTTACAATATTAAACATTCATTCCTTTAATTTTCTCATGCAACAAGTATTTACTCTATTTTCGTCTCGATCCAGTTCAATGTCAAAAACAAGGTCTCTCCTTCAATACATATCCTCCAAATATTTACTCTCCTCGATTATCCTTCGGATCTCCTACATCGAAACTTCCGCCCTCTAAATCGTACAATCCTCTTCACCCTCTTCGGTACACCCAGTAATTCTGTTATCCTCCAAGGATCCGTCCAGAACGAAAACAGTTCCGAAACTAACGTGCACTTTCCGTTTTCTTGGGCAAGCCGCCGATCTGTCTGTGAATCTGGACCGGTGATTGGCTAGTAGTAACCGATCAACGTACCGCGACGCAGCTAATCAGAGATAGTGCGGCGCAAGGTGCCGCGTGTGTTTATGCGTGCGCGTCGTTGGGGATACGCGCGATGCGGCGAAGGAAATCCACACGACTAGCCTGGTTTTTTCGGCGTGACGCGGATATATATAGTGCGACGGTGTGCACGGGCGCGATCACGGCTGCGAGACGGAGAGTCAATCGTGCTGTCCGCTAGAAAACCGACGTGGCGCGTACACGCCAGGTAAAAAGAGACAAAGGGAGGGGGTCGAGGGGGCAAGGAGATAGAGGGGGCAGAGAGAGGAAGGATAGAGGCCGTCCTCCTAATAAGTTCTATCGGCCACCGGTGTCGTCTCGATGACGGCCCCGTATTGTCCTTAACACTTCGACTATCATGTAGAATTCGAGTGACACTACTTCGGATCTGGAAGTTGGATTTTCGCAGTGGCGCATCTAAGAGAACGGATTTTCTTGGATGAAGACGAAGGATCTGTGAGACTGATTGCTAGGAGGACTGTTAACTTTTCGCTGTCCGTTTCATTTGGAGGATTGCTCTGGTCTCTACGAAGTTTCGATCAGCGCTGATTCGGCAGTCAACGTGTTAAGGCATCGCGACGATCGCGCGAAGACGGGTGAACTGCGGTCGATCTCTTTGTACCGTCGTCTGCATTTCGCCTGCTCCCTTTCACCTTGCCTCTGTCTCGGTCGATCTGAACTCGCGCGCTCTTTCCGCCTCCTTCTCACCGTCTTCCCACCACCCGTGATTATTCCTACCCTCTCCCGTTGGCCGACGCTCTGATCTCCTGAGCTCTTTTCCCTCCGCTCGAAACCGCGGAGTGGATCGGGCATTGCGTAAGTGGTGCAAGCGGATGAATCAGACGATCCACATGGACGATGATTGTCTGCGGGGTTCGCTGATGAGGTTTCGTGTGCTTTAGAAGGGTTTTGGGGTGCTTCTTTGGAAGTGGTTGCTGAGGTTTGGGAATAAAGGTGACTCGAGGTGAAGGGTTTCGAGTATTTGAAATTCATTTGGGAAATGCTGATGGCGTTCTTTGTTTGCAACTTGTAATTGGGTATTTTGAGATTGTAGATACTTAATCATTAAGGAAGAGGGATACTTGTAATTGATTAGAGGAGTATGAATGGAAAAATTGTTCGTTTCTTTTAGTTTAAGTCATTTATCTCTTAATTGCTGGAGTTAATAAGATCTTTAAAGTATGAGTGTTAGGGAAATTGATATTTTTCAGACTTTTTAACTAATAGAATACAAAAATTGCTTAATAAAGTTCGAATTTCTCTGTCTCACCGGAAGGTGTGAATTAAATCGAAAATAATAATTGCAAGGTTTGGAAGAAGAAGGTGTCGTGTTACAAGAATTCTACACTTATATAACATGCGGCCTTCATCCTTTCTGGATTTCTTCCTCCTACGCCTGGATAAAGTGAAATGAGGAAATTTACGAATGTGCGAGATTAAAATGTGAAAATATCGACGAACCTCATCGAAATAATTACTTACAATTACACGTAACAACCAGGATGCAGGGAAAAATATCTTCATTAATATTTTGCTACAGTCGCTTACAATAATTATGATACAATTCTTGTATAAACATTGGCTACTGCTATTTGTCACGCTAACAGTGATTAACGAATTAACATCCTTTTCTCTTACCGCCATTGTATTCTCTGATGATAGACAGGAAGCTTTCGGCTGCTCCAAACGTCTGACAAAAGGAAACGGAAGAAGTTTTATTGCAGCTTACACAATGCTACATATTTCCAAACGCAATACCGGTAGTCGCATTGCTTATT